CTATTGTTGAGAGTGCTGCTATGAACATTGGGGTACACGTGCCCCTATGCATCAGCACTCCTGTGTCCCTTGGGTCAATTCCTAGCAGTGCTATTGCTGGGTCATAGGGAAGTTCTATTGTTAATTTTTTGAGGAACCTCTACACTGTTTTCCAGAGGGGCTGTACCAGCTTACATTCCCACCAACAATGTAGGAGGGTGCCCATTTCTCCACATCCTTGCCAGCGTCTAGAGTCTTCTGATTTGCTCATTTTAGCCACTCTGACTGGCGTGAGGTGGTATCTCAGTGTGGTTTTGATTTGTATTTCCCTGATGAGGAGGGACGCTGAGCATCATTTCATGTGTCTGTTGGCCATCTGGATGTCCTCTTTGGAGAAGTGTCTGTTCATATCTTCTGCCCATTTCTTCACTGGCTTGTTTGTTTTTTGGGTGTGGAGTTTGGTGAGTTCCTTATAGATTTTGGATACTAACCCTTTATCTGATATGTCATTTGCAACTATCTTTTCCCATTCCATCAGTTGCCTATTAGTTTTATGGATTGTTTCCTTTGCCATGCAGAAGCTTTTAATCTTGATGAGGTCCCAATAGTTCATTTTTGCTCTTGATTCCCTTGCCTTTGGGGATGTGTCAAGTAAGAAATTGCTGCGGTGGAGGTCAAGGAGGTTGTTTCCTGCTTTCTCCTCTAGGGTTTGGATGGTTTCCTGTCTCACATTCAGGTCCTTTATCCATTTTGAGTTTATTTTTGTGTGTGGTGTGAGACAATGCTCTAGTTTCATTCTTCTGCATGTTGCTGTCCAGTTCTCCCAGCACCACCTGTTAAAGAGGCTGTCTTTTTTCCATTGGATACTCTTTCCTGCTTTGTCAAAGATTAGTTGGCTGTATACTTTTGGGTCCAATTCTGAGTTCTCAATTCTATTCCATTGGTCTATGCGTCTGTTTTTGTGCCAATACCATACTGTCTTTATGATGACAGCTTTGTAGTAGAGGCTAAAGTCTGGGATGGCGATGCTTCCCGTTTTGGTTTTCTTCTTCAATATTACTTTGGCTATTCACGGACTTTTGTGGTTCCATACAAATTTTAGGATAGTTTGTTCTAGTTTTGAGAAGTATGCTGGTGTGGTTTTGATTGGGATTGCATTGAATGTGTAGATTGCTTTGGGTAGTAATGACATTTTAACTATATTTATTCTTCCAATCCATGAGCATGGAATATTTTTCCATTTCTTTGTGTCTTCTTCAATTTCCTTCATAAGTTTTCTATAGTTTTCATCATACAGATCTCTTATATCTTTGCTTAGGTTTATTCCTAGGTATTTTATGTTTTTTTGTGCAATTGTGAATGGGATCAGTTTCTTGATTTCTCTTTCTGTTGCTCCATTGTTGCAACCGATTTCTGTATGTTGATTTTGTATCCTACAACTTTGCTGAATTCTTGGATCAGTTCTAATAGGCTTCTGGTGGAGTCTGTCAGGTTTTCCATGTAGAGTATCATGTCATCTGCAAAAAGTGAAAGTTTGACTTCTTCTTTGCCAATTCTGATGCCTTTTATTTCCTTTTGTTGTCTGATTGTTGACGCTAGGACTTCCAGCACTATGTTAAACAGCAGTGGTGAGAGTGGGCATCCCTGTCATGTTCCTGATCTCAGGGGGAAAGCTCTCAGTTTTTCCCTCATTGAGGATGATGTTAGCTGAGGGCTTCTCATAGATGGCTTTTATGATGTTTAAGTAAGTTCTTTCTATCCCGACTTTCTCGAGGGTCTTTATTAAGAAGGGATGCTGTATTTTGTCAAATGCTTTTTCTGCATCTATTGACAGGATCATATGATTTTTATCTTTTCTTTTGTTGATGTGATGTATCACATTGATTGATTTGAGAATATTGAACCAGCCCTGTAACCCAGGAATGAATCCCACTTGATCTTGGTGGATAATTCTTTTTATGTGCTGTTGAATTCGATTTGCAAGTATCTTGTTGAGGATTTCTGCATCTGTATTCATCAAGGATATTGGCCTATAGTTCTCCTTTTTTGCTGGGTCTCTGTCTGGCTTGGGAATCAAAGTGATGCTGGCTTCATAAAATGAGTCCGGAAGTTTCCCTTTGATTTCTATTTTTTGGAATAGCTTGAGAAGAATCGGTATTAATTCTGTTTTAAATGTCTGGTAGAATTCCCCAGGGAAGCCATCTGGCTCAGGGCTCTTATTTGTTGGGAGACTTTTGATAACTGATTCGATTTCCTCACTTGTTATGGGTCTGTTCAGGTTTGCTATCTCTTCCCGTGTGAATTTTGGTAGTGAGTGTGTATTTAGGAATTTGTCCATTTCTTCTAAGTTGTCCAGCTTGTCGGCATATAGTTTTTCATAGTATTCCCTGATAATTGCTTGTATTTCTGAGGAGTTGGTTGTAGTCAGTCCATTTTCATTCATGATTTTGTGTATTTGAGTGCTCTCTCTTTTCTTTTTGAGAAGCCTGGCTAGAGGTTTGTCAGTTTTGTTTATTTTTTTTCAAAAAACCAACTCTTGGTTTCATTGATCTGTTCAACTGTTTATTGGTTTCTATATTGTTTATTTCTGCCCTGATTTTTATTATTTCTCTTCTTCTACTGGGTTTGGGGTGCTCTTGTTGCTCTGCCTCTAGTTGCTTTAGGTGCACTATTAGATTTTGCACTTGCACTTTTTCTAATTTCTTGAAATAGACCTGGAGTACAATGTACTTTCCTCTTAGGACTGCTTTTGCTGCATCCCATAAAGTTTGAATTGCTGTATTTGTGCAAAAGTGTTTTAGTTCCACTTGTTGATGTATTTCCACTTGTTGATTTAGGCTTTTGTGCTTTTGGTGTTGTATCTAAAAAATCACTGCCAAGACTGATGTCAGAAACCTTTGCCCTATATTTTGTTCTAGTCGTTTTATGGTTTCAGGTCTTATGCTTAAGATCCATTTCAAGCTAATTTTTGTGAGTGGTACAGATAGGAGTCCAATTTCATTCATTTGCATCTGTATGTCCAGTTTCCTCAGCACCACCTAGTGAAAAGACTGTCCTCTCCCCACTGAGCATTCTTGGCTCCCCTCTCAAACGTTAGTCCACCATATATGCAAGGGTCCATTTCTGGGCTGTCATTCCATTAGACCCTGTGTCCACCTTCATGCCAGTATTATGCTGTCTTCTGTGCACAATGTGGGGCTCGAACTCATGACCCTGAGATCAAGAGTTGCACGCTCCACCAACTGAGCCAGCAAGGAGCCCCAGTACTATGCTGTTTTTACCTCTATGGCTTTGCAGGAGGGTCTGCTATCAGGAGGGGTGATGCTCCTACCTTTATTCTTTCTCGATACTGCTTTGCTGCTCCATGGTCTTTTGTGGCTGCATAGGAATCTTAGGATTGTTTTTTCCATCTCTGTGAAAAATGCCATTGGAATTTTGATAGATGTTGTATTGCATCTATGGATTGGTATTATTATGGACATTTTAACAGTATTAACTCTGCCTTGTGGTCTGGAGGGCTCTCCTTGTCTCCCCCTGACCACCCCACCCCTTCCCCCGGGGAATTTCTCCCAACAAACTCTTGATGATCTAATCCTGTTGGGACATCTGCTTTTTAGAGGCTCCAAAGAATGCACATATCCATTTGTTTTGGCTTGAAATATTCAGGCAATGAAGGAAAAGAAAGTGGGGAGGCAGAAGTTTTGGAAAAGTAAGAACATGTGGTTTTCTAATACATATCGTTATTAAATGAAGATGGCTTTTAGGTTTCATTAGAAACATTAAAATGTGTGAGGTCCCTTGGGGTGCCTGGGTGGCTTCGCAGGTTAAGCGTCTGACTTCAGGTCAGGTCATGATCTCACTGTTCGTGAGTTTGAGGCCCTGCGTGGGGGCTCTGTGCTGACATTTCAGGGCCTGGAGACTACTTCGCATTCTGTGTGTGTCTCTCTCTGCCCCTCCCCTGCTCGTGCTGTCCCTCTTTTGTCTCTATAAAATAAATAAACATGAAAAAAAAGGGTGAGGTCCCCAATGTATTTGTATATTTTTAAAAGTTTATTTATTTTGAATGAAAGAGAGAGGGGGGAGGGGCAGCAAAAGGGGGAGACAGAATCCCAAGCAGGCTCTGCTGTCAGTGCTAAGCCTGACATGGGGCTTGATCTCACGAACCAGAAGATCATGACCTGAGCTGCAATCAAGAGTCAGACTCTTAACTGACTGAGCCCCACCCCCCGTACCCCTCCCATTGTGCATTGTATTAAATGAAAATACTCATCATACACCTAAAATTTTAGCACTTGCAATCGTGTAAGTTATGATGAAAAATATGATCTGTTAACTTAAAACATTCTAGGCAACAGCAGCTTCACAAAACTTAGTTCTAGGTGTATGTGTCCAAGAAAAATAACGTTTTTGAAGACCGCTCTCCCAGACCTGAAATCCTTGTGTGACCCCCTAATCAAGACTGAATCACATAGCAGAAGGTGAGAAATGCAAGTGTAAATATCATTTCATTATTAGGTAGATTAGGGGCTAAACCCCCAAACTAAGACTCAAGGTAGCTAAACTGGGTCACAATGTTTCTGCTTCCTGATTTATGATGGGTCTACATTTTAGACCCTAAAGTAGCTTAGAACTAAGGCACAGTCTGCTCCATCTCCAGCCCTAAGTTGCAGACATGGCCCTCGAACAAATGGAAAAGCTGCTGGCAGCAGCACCAGAGAAATTAATCCATCTTCCTCATCCGTCTGGGGGTAATGTGTACACCTTTCAGAGGATCCAGACCCAGAAGATATGACTCAAAAATGCCCCTGGAATTGACCAACAAAAAATCTGCAGGTCAGGAGACGTTGCCAGAGAGAAACATATCAGAAAAAACAGAAGTGCAAGAACCGACCAAAATGAAATGTGAAACAGTGACTTCTTCCCTTTTTACCAACTCTCGAGGATCCCCCCAAAAGGCTGAAGACAGAGAAGCGAGGTGGGGGTGGGTGGGCAGAGGAACATCCGGCAGTCACAGATTTTCATGTAGTTTTAAATATCTAACACTTTATTTCTTTCTGTTGTTCTCATTTTAATAAGCATTTAACTCTTGATGAAAGAAAGTTTGGGGAGTGAGAAGAGCGTAGAGGAACTGGGGGTCAGTTATCCGAGTCTCAGCTTGTCCCATGGGTCTTCTCAGGTCTGGTGAAGAAGGGGTTTCTACCTGGGGAGAGAGGAGGGAATCAGAGATGTGGGAAGGTGCAAACCGTATGTGGGGCAGGGACATAGATTGGGTCCCCAGACCACCCAGGGCCTGAATCCTGCCTGCTACTCTCTTCCCAGGAGCACTGAGAGGTGCTGCCTAGGAATCAGGGACAGGGGAGAGGGAATTCCAGGAGAGCCATCCTGAGGAATGAGAATCTTAGGACCCCTTACCTCACAGTTTAAATGTGGAGAGGAAAGCGATTCACTAATATAAAAATTTTTTTTAACTTTTTTTTTTAATTTATTTTTGAGAGAGAGCATGAGCAGGGGCGGGCAGAGAGAGAGCGAGGGAGACACAGAATCTGAAGCAGTCTCCAGGCTCTGAGCTGTCAGCACAGAGCCCCTCGGGGCTCCAACCCACCAACTGTGAGATCATGACCTGGGCGGAAGTTTGACACTCAAACGAACCGAGCCACCCAGGAACCCCGATTCACTATTATTAAGCTGTAAGAAAAAAACAATGGCAATTGAAAACAGTCATACTAAAAATTCAGGAACAGTAGAGGGGCTTGGGATCATCTAATCCAAAAGGCCCCACCATTCAAAAGAAAGGAGGGGCACCTGGGTGGCTGAGTTGATTAAACACCTGACTTCAGCTCAGGGCATGAGCTCATGGTTCGTGGGTTCGAGCCCTGCATTGGGCTCTGTGCTGACAGTGTGGAGCCGGGAGCCTGCTTCAGATTCTGTCTCCTCTCTCTGCCCTCCCCTGGTTACATTCTATCTCTCTCTCTCTCTCTGTCTCAAAAGTAAATAAACACTACAAATTTTAGAAAGAAAGAAAGAAAGAAAGAAAGAAAGAAAGAAAGAAAGAAAGAAAGAAAGAAAGAAAGAGTGATGTCCATTACATGAAATTAAACAGTGCCTTTTCCTAGGAAGGAGGCCTTGGGGGTCCTTTGCTAGGGCCTGAGAGACAAATTTCTAATCTCGAAGGTTTCTAAGGACACTGACGGTTCTCGATTCCCTCGGAACACCGTGTTCTTCGGGAACATTCCTGGGACAAAGGCGAGAGCAGCAGATGCGGGGCTGGGGGACGTGGGAGGTGGGGTGGGGGCAATGGGAGGGGGTTGCGGGGGTCTCACCTCACCAGCAAGGGCTCCATACACTGCTTCCTGCAGTTGTAGAAGCAACACTTCTTCGTCCCGGGGCAACGCCGATCGAGCTTGCACAGAGGTAAGAGGGTGAAAGGGCACTCAAGTAAAAACTCTGGGCAATATCCAAGTTTTAAAGCTGGGGAGAAAAGTCACAGGGTGAGGCGGGGGCACCGGAGCGCCGCGGCCAAGCATCGAGGCCAGCAGGTCCCCGGGATAGCGCCGCAGAAGGTTCCCCCACCCTGGCCACACGCGAGCCCATTGCGCCCGGACACACGCACCCTGCTGCCGCCTCTGCCACACGGGCCGCGCCGTGTGCAGGCAGAGGAGGAGGAGGAGGGTCACAGTGGGTGCGGAGAGGCCGCGCAGCTTCATGGCGCCGCCAAGTGTGTGCGCATTGTGCGGGCAGATTCCTGGCTTAATTCGCCTTTGACGGGGGCCCGCCAGCAGGGGGAGCTCTGGTTCCCAGGGTCCAAGGTCACGGGTGCCTCCAAGGGACCAGAAAATAGCAGCGGTTTCCTTCCCCACACCCCCTAGGAGAGGCGCTACAAGAACCCTTCGGCAAAACTTCTGAGAGCCCAGGAGGGCTCCGTCTTTTTTAGGGAGGGTCTGGGCTGGCCTGTCCCCTAATACTTCTTGCTTTATGGAGTGGATTCTGAGGCAGCAGAAGGGAACTGGCTTTCCCGGGGAGGGGGTCTCTCATTAGGTCTGACAAACTCCGCTCTTCTCACTGTGCGTCCGGAACGATGTAAAACCCGTCCCTCTCTGTGGATTTCAACAATGGGTACATTTGAAGAGCTTACTTCGAACAAATGAACATTTGAAACACACACAGGCACAAAAACAAGGCAAGAAAATGAGCGATTAGCAAGATAATATCTAGATTTATGGAGACTATCAATACTTTGGGAACTGCTGAGACAGAGCTATAAGATGTATGATGAATGTTTTCTACCACAGCTTCTGTCTTTATGCCTCGGCGACCTTGTATAAACTTCATTTGCTGATACGGTCAAAAGCGATGGGAAGAAACAGGTTTATGGATACACATGGGAGATTCGGGATCGCTGTGGAAGGCAGAGAGCTGCGGAAAAGGGTCGGAAGCACCACCTGTGTCCAACTGTTCCTTTCTTTCCAGTGCGATCTTGTCACTCCCTCCTGCCATTGTTGCCACTGTGCATCTTCCTTTCCAGCTCTAGCTTAGCCTGTCCTCCGTGAGGTTCGGTCCAAATTTAGAAAAAAAGATCCTTTCCGATGGGTTTAACAGGCCAGGAAGTAACTTAAAGTGTCTGCACTTTTATTCTCAAGACTTCTGTTTGGAGTCCCACACGCCCACTCTGAACCTTTCTGTTTTCAAAGAACCTTGATATTCACCGCAGTTTTATGATACCAAAACATGACAAGGTTCTGACATGCAAGGGAAACTATATGCCAATCTCACTATAAGGGAAAAATCCTAAGCAAAACATTAGCCAGTGAATTTTGTCAAATATAAAAATAGTGATGCATCATGAACAAGTGGGGGATTATTTCAACAATATATGGTTGCTTTAACATTCAAAAGTCAGTAGGATACTCCTTGTTAACAAATAAAGGGGAAATCATGATGATCTTCACATCAGCAGTAGAATATGTAAAAAAATCATTTATCTATTAATGGTTAAAAAAACATAATGGTACAGGATTAGAAGTTAATTAGTTAATTCGATAGCAAGCCTCTATAAAATCCCTGTTACAGAGGTAAGTACTTGCAGAATGCTGGAGTAAGAGCCGCTCCTTCCTAAAAGCTGGCCGAATACTACAAATATTGTCAAAATCAACCTTTTCAGGACTTTAGAATTTACCAAAGGCTTGCAATAATCCATGAAGTGTTTATTCAGGAAGGACAGGTGGATCTTGGCAAGAAGAAGGAGTGCTGTGGCAATTTGACTTGCACCATTCCCATCCCTTTCTTTCTGGCTGTGCCGTAGCCTCGGGGCCAGTGGTGCCGGGTGCCGCACCAGCCTCTCTGGATGGCAGTCACAGCAGGGAAATGGCAGTGTTTGCACAGCTCCTGCCATGAGAAATGAAAACTGGTTTCTCCTGCTACTACTGGCTCATGTTATGCTGGTATTGACCAGGCCTCACAATATTCCATATCGGACCAGTATTCTGAACACAGATACCTCATAAGGAAAAGCATATTCCTGCCTTTGCAAAAGAGATTTTAGATGAAAGCTCTGTGGATGATTGTCAAAAGGCTCTTCCTATGGGCCTTGCAGATCCAAGACTTAGGGGGTTAAGGACACAAGAATTACAATTGAGCCTGGCCCTGAGACAAAGAGCGTAATTTAGAGGTAAGGTACAGATAAGGGCAGAACTTAAGTTAATACTTACACCTTCTTCTAACTGGTGATGGATGGCAGTCCCTTCCCCAAGGCCTACTTTCTGCAAACACCCTCCCTTACAGGTGTCTAGGATGAGGGTAGATAAGAGTAGCTAAAGCATTACCCACAAACAAAAGGCTGACACATTTAGGGCCTCCATGGTTTCACACATTCAGCATCAAATAGGTTTCCACAAACAACTTATTAACCAACTCAGAAACATTCATTTGAGAGCCAGACAGAATGACTCTTAGCCCATCTATACACTTAACCTATGACCTAACCTTAGCGTTATTAACTTAGAACAAATATGTATCCTGTCTTTTACTAAGAATACCCTGCTAATTCTTTAGTTATAAGATTTACTTAACCTCACTATAATTGGAATAATTCTGCAAGAATATTTCTGTAAAACCTGCTTCTGTACACTTTCCAAAGCATCTTATCACAAAGAGTTATCCATTGTAAAAATTCCTTTTTCTGGTGTCGTGTTATCATTTAACCTATAAATAAAGACACCAAAACCGACAGGACAGAAATGCCTACCTGGTGATCAGAAAGAATCTCGGGGCTCTCTCACTCTCTCTCTCGCCGACACTGTCCATCATTCAGGGACCCCTGGACCTGCTGGAGCAGGCCCGGCCTTCAACACAGTGGACTTGTGCTGCGGTAGCTCTGAGGACCAGTAGAGTGGCAGTCGCTGACACAGAGAACAGATTTGATACTACTCAAAACTGCATCTCCAGGAAATTGTCACTAGTTGACCTTGCAACTTCATAAAAAGAGTCTGTATTTATTTCACCTGACTCAGAGCTTGCTTCTTGTGGTCGGACCTCTCCCTGGGTCACTTTTTTTGACATCGTGGCTTCTTCAGACAGTGAGATCAACTGGCGATGCTTAGAGGCTGAGCACAAATGCTAAAAGGAAGAAGTGGGGAATGAGACTTCTAGGAGGTTTTGAAGATTCTATCCTATTCATGAGAATTCATGGGAATCTAGAAGCCCACACACACGTGTGGGATGTACCTGTGTCTGGGGCTGTGTACATGTCTCTGAATACAGGCCTGCTGCTGCTCCATTTACATATTGGCCACATCCTTAATCTTGATTAGGATTTTATGGCTGATTATGATGGTTGTCATGTACTTACAATTCAGTTCAGATACAGTCATTATCTTGGGGTCTATCTTGGTGTCCACCTTGTTGTATATGATTCAGTGGTTCTTGTTCTTCTTCTTTTTTTTAATGTTTATTTTTAAGCGAGAGAGACAGAGTGTGAGGGGGGAGGGGTAGAGAGAGAGGGAGACACAGAACCTGAAGCAGGCTCCAGGCTCTGAGCTGTCAGCACAGAGCCCGATGCAGGGCTTGAACCCACAAACTACGAGATCATGACCCAAGCCAAAGTCGGAAGCTTAACCGACTGAGCCGCCTAGGTGCCACGAATGGTTCTTCTTCTTGATATTGGCCTGGCATGGCACTGTATATAGGCCATGCCTTTGATCTTGATTAAGATTTTGTGTCTGATTATGATTACTGTCACATACTTGCTTTAAAGTAAATCTATAACACGGTCTTTGGAGCCAGCCTGGTGTCTGTCTTTTTGTCCAGAATAGTGTGGACCTTGTTCTCTTTTGGGAAATCCATCTGATCCATTTAGTAATTGATAATAAGAATGTTTGGACTCAATAGTCTCCAAAGCTCCCTTCCGTCTCTTATCACCGCCCACTTGTTCCCCAACAACTCATGGTGTTCCCCCAAAGGGCTGTGGTTTGGGCTGTGGAAGAATTAGTTCCCATCAGGGAGAAGAATATGTACCTGAAGAAGTTCTCTCCTAGAACCCAGAAAACCCTTAAAACCCGTTCTCCTTGACTAGCTTTCCCCCCAAGCTCACCTCCTACACTCACCACTGAGTCTCTTTATAGCTGCTTGCTTCTCAAAAATGAGGAGCAGAGAAAGGACGAAGATGTCGGACTTCATCTTGCCAGGAAAGCCTTGGCTGAGAGCTGAGTTGAGTTTCTCATGAATGCCTTCCCTTGGCTGTGTGTGCCAGGGGTCAGCCTAAGTTACAAAAGACCCTACCCTTTCTTAGCTTATCAGTAAATGCCGACTTCCTCACTCCTGCCCAATAGGGGACACTGTCAGAGTCCCCAGGGACTTTGCAAAGGGATACAATGTCAGCGGTCTTCGTTTTCCCCTATAAGCTCCAGCAAATCTTTATCAACGCTCAGAGCATCATGCTAAGCCTTCTGTATTTACAGCAGAAACTCAGTCCAGAGAAAAGAGACTTACTTCAGGTTACAAAACGAATCCTACCATGATGCCATCATTTAAATACTCCATCACAGAAGTGCCTGTATGGCTCAGTTGGTTTAAGCGTCCATCTCTTGATTTCGGCTCAGGCTCGTGAGATCGAGCCCCGCTTTGGGCTCTGTGCTGACAGTGCGGAGCCTGCTTGGGATTCTCTCTCTCCCTCTCTCTCTGCCCCTCCCTTGCTCACCCTCTCTTTCTCTCTCAAAATAAATAAAGAAATATTTAAAAAATTAAAAATATTTAAGTACTCCATCACAAATATAACCCTGTACTTCTCCTTGTTTTAATTTTTTTTTTTTTTATTTCTAGGAGAGAGAGAGAGACAGCGTGAGCAGGGGAGGGTCAGAGAGAGAGGGAGTCACAGACTGAAACAGGCTCCAGGCTCTGAGCTGGCAGTCAGCACAGAGCCCGACGCGGGGCTCGAACCCACGAACCGCGAGATCATGACCTAAGCGAAAGTCGGACGCTTAACCGACTAAGCCACCCAGGCGCCCCACTTCTCCTTGTTTTAAAATGGTCTTGAGATCATTCGGTTTTACCTGAGGAGGACCAGTCATAAAATTAGAAAGACACTGAAGACAAATGAAAGCCAAAGAAAGAAGGTTTCAAGATGTAAACAGCAATGCACCAATTGCAAAACTGGCTGTGAGGTGCATCACAATAAAGACTGACATGTGCCCAAAACTTTACTGTCTTCAGCTGCTCCGAGTAACTTTAATTACAGAAGATTAATACAATTGTGTTGAGTTGTCAGTTGGAGGATAGAGAACAGAAGTAGTCATTTCAAAGAGTCCAAATTTGCAATGGAATGGGAGTCTGGGCTGTACCTGTGGGTAAGGTGAGCTCCAGAGGTATTTTCCAAGGATGGGAGGAATTTAACAGGTTTTAATTGTGATGGGAATGAGCATTGGATGAAGAAATGAGAGTGTTGGTTTCCTTATTGAGTTCTTTTCGGTAAATCTACCTAAACAACAAAATTAATTTTTTTAAATGTTCTTTTTTTTACCAAGAGGGGGGTGGAGAAGGGCAGAAAAAGAGCAGGAGAGAGAGAGAGAGAGAGAGAGAGAGAGAGAGAGAGAGAATCCCAAGCAGGCTCCCAACACAGGGCTTGATCTGTGAGATCATGACATAAGCCAAAATCAAGAGTCTGATGCCCAACCGAATGAGCCATCCAGGTGCCCCATATTAATTTTTTAATGAACAAATTTCCTGCAAAAAAAAAAAAGAAAGAAAAAAATTTCCTGCATAAATACTAAACAGCTACAGCCCAATAGTCTGTGAGGAATGTTTGCCGCCATGGACGAATTTATTAATATATTGAAAAAGGATGCAAAGAGAATATTTCCAACTTATTTAGAGAAGGGCAGTTTTCTGCAAATGTGAGAAAGTCCTAAAGAGCATTCCTTTACTTTGACCCATGAAAATTGGCTTGTGGACAGAGGACAGGACCACTAAAGCCTCCCGATAGTGACCTTATATGAATTCAAAACACCATGGAGGGTGGTCACCGGGGATTTCAACTCCAAACTCAATGTAGGGTTGTGGCGTGGGGTGTCTGTTATGAGCTGCAAAGAACCTGGATGCCTGGGGACAGACACACATGGCTGACTAGAACAGAGCCTGCAAGGTCCTGGAAAGTGGCTCAAGTGTAACCAAGCTTATAGTGATACTCAATCCTCTAAGCCTGGGGTGCACAAAGGCCCTGGAGAGATGGTATCCGATTCTTTGTCTCAGCAACAACTAGGTAGTTCTGGGGAACTCTGAGTCTCTGGTGGAGGGTGGTGTCAAACAATGACCTATTTTCTGGGCTCTTTACCCACAAGCCACACTGAACATTATCTCCAACACAGCTCTGTAGATGTAGCTCAGAGATTTTGCCCAAGGGAAGAGGCAGTCTATAACAGCAGAGTGCTCTGAAGCTCTCCCCCCAAAACTGACTTTATTTGAAACAGAACATGAGGGAGTTCAAGCTTATAGGCGCTCTTGAAAATGGAGATTTTGATGGTAAGCAATTAAGAGGAAGCTGGCAGCTCTATGAGAGTAAAAGGCTCAGCGACAGGCCAACTAGTTTACTGATTTACAACTAGCAAACTCCTGAGAGATTCCAGGAAAAAGACAACTAAGGAGAAGCCTCCTGGGTGGGAACAAACATCAAAGACTGACCTCAAAGACTACTTCTGCTGCAGGGAATGTTTGGAAAAAAATGGAACAATCAACTGTTGATTTCATGGAGCCTACAAACTGGGTGTGATGCTGACTTCCACACAGTTTAACAGGCAGCCTGGGAGAATGATGGTGATCTTTCTAAAGTAATGCTCATGGGCTGGGACATGGGAAAGGACTTGGGCTTGTCAGAACTTTTCAGTCTTTGAGGGTTTTTGGTATTTGGAGGGATCCAATGTGTTCTCAACCAGGACAGTTTTGCCCCACTTGAAGACGTCGGACAATACCTGGAGACGTTTAGTCACCCCACAGAGGAGAGGATCTTGTAGGCAGAGGCCAGAAATGCTGCCAAGCATCCGACAACCCACAGGAAAGCCCTGATCCCCACAAAAAAAAAATGATCTGTCCCAAAATGTTAATAGTACCAACATGGAAGAATCCAGGGTTGGGTATGATGGACCAGTACTTGTATTCATCGAGGACAGTTAAGGAAAGGATGTGATTGGGTGTTGAGTCCTCCCTGAAATCAGCAGCATCAAGGAGATTTTGGTTAGCTGTCCTTCTTTATCTTTTTTTTTTTTTACATTTATTTATTTTTGAGAGATAGAGACAGAGTGCGAGCAGGGGAGGGGCAGAGAGAGAAGGAGACACAGAATCCAAAGCAGGCTCCGGGCTCTGAGCAAGCTGTCAGCACAGAGCCCGATGCGGGGCTCGAAGCCCGAACCATGAAATCATGACCTGAGCTTCATGAAGTTAGACATTCATCCAACTGAGCCCCCCAGGTGCTGCTGCATCTCAGTCTCTATGAGGCATTGGTTCTTCCAGTGGTTCTTTTACTCATAGTACCTAAAGGTGTCCTAATCTGTAGATTCCAGATTCTCAGCAGGAGAGCTTCAACTCTTGGTTTTATTTTGAAGGTCATTTTTTTTTTAAATGAGGCGTTTGTTTTGATTTTCAGTTTGTTTACTTTTAGAGCCCATTGAACATTTTCAGCAACATGCTTGAAATCTAATTGGAATTTCCCGTTGCAATTAATGTTGTCATAACAAGAGCCCTATTTCAAGTAGAAGCCTCCCACTTGACTTCAGCTGGTAAGTCCATCCACAAAATTGTCTAAAAATTTTCCATCTATTTTTAATGACTCTTTATCTTTATTTTATTACATGCTGGGTTCTTTGTGCAATCTACTCTTGAAAGAAAGGGTTTCTGAAATGGCCTTAATGGGTTTCCTGCTTTTCTAGTACTCTCAAGGCCATTTTAAACAATAAATTACTGTATTTCATAGATAAGGTAACTTCCCTACATTGAATAACCAGTGAGAAAACATAGTGAAAGATAAGACCCCATTCATAAAAACAGGCACACTATTTATTTTTTATATATATAATTTATTATTATTATTTTAGAGAGATAGAGAACATGCAAGTGGGGGAGAGGAACAAAGAGAGAGACAGAGAATCCCAAGCAGGCCTCATGCTCAGTGCAGAGCCCGATGCAGGGCTCGATCCCACAACCTTGGGATTATGACTTGAGCCAAAATCAAGAGTCAGGCACTCAACCTACTGAGCCACACAGGCACCCCAGACACACTATTTCTTATACTATAAATGTGATGCATTGCAAGGAAATAACCAATGGTTGGACTTTCTAAATGATTTAAAATTATTCTAAATACCACCTGGTAAAGAAAGCATTTGAGATTTGCCAAGATAAAACTGATGACAAATTATCGTGGGAGAAGGAGTTACCCAATGACACATATTCCCCCTTGTGCTAGACACTGTCAGGATTTTTATTTTATTTTTTATTTCATTGAGGTATAATTAGCACATGACATTATATTAGTTTCAGATGTACAACTTAATGATTAGATATAAATATGCATTGCGAAATGATGACCACAGTAAGCTCAATACACATTAATTTTTATTTATTTTTGAGAGAGAGACAGAGTGTGAGCGGGGGAGGCACAGAGAAAGAGGGAGACACAGAATCCGAAGGAGGCTCCAGGCTCTGAGCTGACAGCACAGAGCCCAATGCGGGGCTCAGACTCACGAACCATGAGATCATGACCTGAGCTGAAGTCCGATGCTCAACTGACGGAGCCACCCAGGCACCCCAGTTCAATGACACATTTTAATACAACCAAAATTATCATAAAAATACACCAACATAATTAGAACATTTAGTAATGGTGGGGGCTTGCAGACACATATCAATGGGAAAAAAAAGGGAAATTCAGTGCCTGTAGGAATTTATAAATGATAAAGTCAGAATTCCACATCAGTAGAGAAATGTCAAAAAAATCGGTACATGATATTGACACAGATGATCAGAAATTCCAGGGGAAATACTGGATTTCTGTCCATTCCATTAACTCAAAATAAGTTTTAGATGATGAAGGTTTTAAGCTATAAAAAATACTCAAAGAAAACATAACTGCAGTTTTGTATAACACTGATATGGAGACAATCTTCTGAAAGCCAGTTAATACAGGTGGCCACATAGATATAGAAAACTTTTGTAGGGTAGAAATTGGAAAAATAGGAGTAAACACATATGATGGGAATACATATTCTATAATGTATTGAAAGACTGTTTACAACATAATAAAGAAAGGAGATGACCTAAGAGAAAAATGAGCACGGACCATGAATATGCGGTCTACAGAAAAAATAATACAAGTGGATATTTCATCTACGAAAATAAATACAATCTTAATTAAAGAAATAATGAAAGAAAAACATAATTAAATACAAGTTAAAATAAACACGATTCTGGGGCACCTGGCTGGCTTGGTTGATAGAGCTTGTGATCCTTGATCTGGGGTTGCAAGTTTGAGCCCTACGTTGGGTGTAGAGATTACTTAAAAATAAAATCTTAAAGGGGCGCCTGGGTGGCTCAGTCGGTTAAGCAACTGAGTTCAGCTCAGGTCATGATCTCGCAGTTTGTGAGTTCAAGCCTCACATCGGGCTCTGTGTTGACAGCTCAGAGACTGGAGCCTGCTTCAGATTCTGTGTCTCCCTCTCTCTCTGCCTCTCCCCTCCTCACGCTCTGTCTCTCTCTCCTTCAAAAATAAGTAAACATTAAAAAATATATATATATATAAATAAAATCTTAAAACAAACAAACAAACAAAGATGATTCCTTTTTTATTTGGGCCTAAGAGACTGGTTCCCCACCACTGATTTAGAGCAATTCCATCTGTCACTGGCTTCTGCCTCCCTTACTGTGAAATGGGTGGCTTGGTTGCTTAGGACCTTTCTTGCTTGAGAAAGATTCCAAGAGACTCAGCAAAGTTCTCTCTGCCCTGTAAGGAGTAAATTGGTAAGAGAAGAGCAGAAAGATCATTGGGAAGACATCAAAATGATGCAGAATGCCTCGTGATAATGGCCACCTCGACCTTTTGTATAATGTCTTCTTATCTTCTCCCCAAACCTACATCTTTGATTCTACTATTTGTCTCTCGAATCATCCTGTCGCCATGGAATGCCTGCCATGAACTTGATTTCTGGTTCAGGTAGAATGAAGAGATCAACAAGTCTTTCCGGAAAGGCTACCAGTCCCCCAGGGTTAGTCAGCTAGTCAGCATCCTATGGAAAGAGAAAAAACATAGTATCGGGACGGGTCGTTCCTGGCCCAGCTGTGCCCTTGACCCCTAGTGTGAACTTTGATGGCTCCCCTGGGCTTCGGGTTTCCCCTTGCAGAAAGAGGGTGTTTATCTGGATTGTGTCAAAGGGGATTTCCAATCCAAATGCAGCGGAAGGTTAGGCTCAGGGCATCTGTGACAAGCTGAGAAGCACGTGGTGTCTGTGCACGATGCTTGTCACGCTGAACTCCTCAGACAGACACACATGGCTGGCTGGAACAGTCTCCTCATCTGAGGATATTCTGGACAAGCGGAGCCTAGAAGTGGTCAAAAGCATATCCAAACCTTATCAGTGACCCTGGCTTTTCAACCCCCTAGAGCACACAGAGCCTGGAGTCATGACCTCGCGTTTTATCTCAGCAAAAAAACCCTCCTCAGCTGGAGACTGCTATGCCTTTGGGAGAAGCGTGGTAGCAGGTGAGCTGTTCCCAATTAACCACACACTTTCTGACTGTGCCTCCCTCGGGGGGCACGTCAGCCGGCATCTCTGGGTAATTTCACTAATATCACACAACCTCTCATTTCCCCCCTTTCCCATCATGCTTGCTCCCTTTCATCACCACTACGTGCAGAGTTATGAGGCAGCAGGTGGTTTAGAGAATGGTTGGAACAGCGCACACACAGACTGGCATGGATGTGAGGACCAGTGACTAAAAAGTAGACACAGAGACAGGAAGAAGCGAGGATTTATTCTGGCAGCCAATGGCTGCCACATCTCACCGCCAGGGAGGGGAGTGAACAGGATGGCCAAGGCTTTGGCCACATAGACTAACAAGATGTGATGTCAGCTTGCCCGGAGGCAGCAGTGGCGTGCTTTATTGTGGTTCAGGAGGAAAAGACCATGGACAGGCATTATTGAATAAGTGTTCTCATAAAAACACTAGGCTGCAGACTCGGGAAGACCAAGCATCGTGTAGTGTGTGGAAAAGCTGAGAATGTAAACCAGGATTCAAACGGGTGGACCTCAGTCGGGCTCTGTGCTGACAGCTCAGAGCCTGGAGCCTGCTTGGGATTCTGTCTCCCTCTCTCTGTGCCCCTCCCCCTGCTTGCATTCTGCCTCTCTCTCTCTCTCTCTCTCTCAAAAATAAAATAAAACATTAAAACATCTTTTTTATAGGGGCAGAAAAGTGATCACGTTTATTAAAAGTGACCTTGTGAAATAAATGACTGCCGAGGGAGAAACTGGTAAGAGAGTTGACTTGGTGTCTCCCTCAGGAAGAGAAGTCATTTTACCAGGACATTCCCATGGTGACCAGGGAGTATGGCCTCTGTGTCAGAGGCAGGAACATTCATACCACTCCCTTTGCAAATGTCACCTTGAAGAGCTTCGTGGGGACTTTGGAACCTTATGGAAATCCACAGTGGAGAGGCTACCTGATGTCTGTTGACTGCCCACTATATGGAGTTCCCTTCTTATATGTTTGGCACCTTTCTCTCTGAGTCCATATTTGAGTCTGGATGAGAGACTGAGACGGCTTCCCGCTGCAGGAACTGAACAGGCTCACTGTCATTCACCCCCGACACCCAGGGCTATTCAGCAAATCCGAAGTCCCCCTGGCACTTCAGATCCCCTAGAGTCACCCCAAGCAGCAAGGATGAGGGGGCATTCCTCCCCAGGGCCACACAGTAGCACTGTCCACAGCAGCACCCGAGTCAGGGGCTTCGGTGGCAGCCACGTGGCCACATCACACAGTTGTGGAGCTGCGTTTCTGGCTGTGGTCACACTGTCTGGACGCTCTAGTTCTTATGATACCCCCTGAGCCTGCATCTTCATAAATCCTGGAGCCACATTTTGCAGACTGGGTTCTTTCCGGAGCAGGAGCTGACACAGAGGGGGGAGCGCAAGTTCCTTTGCAAAGTGCCACCAGCGGAAGTAGCAGAGAGAAGCAGGACTGGGCACACCAAGGGGGCCATCGCTATGCTGACCTGACGGCGTCTCTGCCGGCCCAACCGGGAGCCCTGGAGCAGGCATTTTCCATGAGGAGTCCTCCCTCGGGCCGCAAGTACCATAGCCTTACCCTGTCCCTGGCTGGGGGTCTCCAGTTCGAGCACCAAGGTGGTGCCTGAGAAGCACTCAGCTATGCATGTGCAGCTGGGTGAGGAGGGGCTCCTTGAAGGGGGTCTGAGCCGCACGGGTCCCCGTCAGGCCCAGTGCCCGCCTGGCGCCGCAGGGTGCGTGTCGCACCGAGGGAGCCCACGGAGGATGGGGTAAGTGGGGCAAACTTGAGCACCAGCCGGTGTCAGGCCGCCGCTGCTCTTCCACGTCCCTCCGTTCCACAGCCTCCTTGTCCTTGGCTGCCATCAGAGTCACGCTCAGTGGCTTACCTGGTGGTGTGACCGAAACCCTTGCCCTGAGGGTCGCCACCTTTCTCCCGTCAGGCCGGCTGCACTTGTCCATTCGCGGCCGCACGAGGAAGATGCCACCGAGAAACTCTGTGACTTTGGTGTGGGCATCTTCCCTGCTGTCCCCTGACTCCGCTGGGCTTGTCTTTGCTGAGATTCGGTGCAGACTTAGGAAAAACCTTTTCAGATTGGTTTCACAGATCAGCTCCTTAAGAGTCTACGCTCAGGGGCGCCTGGGTGGCTTAGTCGGTTAAGCGTCCGACTATCGCTTAGGTCGTGGTCTCGCGGTTCGTGGGTTCGAGCCCCGCGTCGGGCTCTGTGCTGACTGCCAGCTTGGAGCCTGGAGCCTGTTTCAGTCTGTGACTCCCTCTCTCTCTGACCCTCCCCTGCTCACGCTGTCTCTCTCTCTCTCTCTCTCTCGCTCCCTCTCTCTCTCTCCCTCTCTCTCCTAGAAATAAATAAAACATAAAAAAAAAAAAGAGTCTACGCTCAGATTCTCCTGACATTTGTCCCCAGCCCTGCTCTGTTAAACTAAAACATCATTCCCCATCAGCCGTGAAAATAACAGCCTGGCTGTGCAGCGGGGAAGACTGTCGCTGGTCCCCTCGGTCCTCACCCTGACAACAACCATGCACGCAGCACCTGTCGGCGTCGTGCTCGCTCAGCCTGCTCACCCTCAGGACAGCGGCAAGAAGGGTGACGACGGAAGCTGGTCTGCCAAGTGGTCCCAGGGTTATTTTGTCTCTCCCGGCAGCATTTTCCACTGTGGTGCTTCATTTCATTTATTTCTGCTTCCTTTCTTTTTATCAAAGCTACGTAGGTAGAGATTGCTGTTTTGTAAACGTTTTTTTAAAAGATTTTGGTTTATAACCAGAGCTACCGTTTTCCTATGCTCAACCTCATAAATGTATTGTTTTGCCCATATTATCATTACTTTTTAAAATGTCCTTTGGTTTCCTCTGTCCTTTTTTTTCCTGGCTTTTTGATTGTGTGTTTACATTTTGATTCACTTATTTTTTTTTCAATGTTTATTTATTTATTTTTGGGTGGGGGAGAGACAGAGAGGGAAAGAGAGAAAATCTCAAGCAGGCTCTGTGATGTCAGCACACAGTAAGTATTTAAGGATACTCTCCTCTGACTTTCTGTCTCCTTATTTTTTGTTGTTCATTTGAACCATCTTGTAGGGATGGTGTGTTAAATTCTCCTGTTGGTAAGTGTCAACCTATATCTCCTTGCATAGCCCGTAGATCCTGCTATTTTTTTTTTAATTGAAGTCCAGGTGACATATGATATTATATTAGTTTCAGGTGCACAACATAGTGAATCGCCGATTCTATACATCACGTGATCCTCGCTATGGTAACTGTCCTCACAATCTGTTGCCACACAACACTATTAAAATATTAGTAGGGCATTTGAGTGGCTCAGTCAGTTGAGCATCCAACTTTGGCTCAGGTCATGATCTCACGGCTCATGGGTTCGAGCCCCGTGTCAGGCTCTGTGCTGACAGCTCAGAGCCTGGAGCCTGTTTCGGATTCTGTGTCTCCCTCTCTCTCTGACCCTCTCCCGCTAACGCTCTGTCTTACTGTCTCTCAAAAATAAATAAATGTAAAAAAATTTTTTTAAATATTATTTACTCCATTCCCTATGCTATACGTTTCATCTCTGTGACTTATTTATTTTATACCTAGAAGTTTTTATGTCTTATTCATGTTTTGCCCATCCTCCTCTGCCCTCCACTCTGGAAACTCCAGCTTGTCTTCTGTATGGACAGAAGTCTGTTTCCATTTTTTGCTGGTCTGTCTGCTTTGCTGTAGTAACTTCTTTATAAAGGAGTATGGTATATGTGCTATGTGGTGTTTATACACTTAAAATGTATATCTTAAAAAATAAAAAATAAACAAAAAATTAAAAAAAACTTTTTAAAGGGGCGCCTGGGTGGCTCAGTCATTTCCAGCTTTGGCTCAGGTCATGATATCACAGTTCGTGGGTTTGAGCCCCACGTCAAGCTCTGTGCTGCCAGCTCGGAGCCTGGAGCCTGCTTCAGATTCTGTGTCTCCCTCCCTCTCTCTCTCTGGTCCTCCCCCAACTCTCTCTCAAAAATAAATAAATGAATAAGCCCTTTAAAATTGCATATATTTACTGTGAATTGTGGCTTTTAATATTAAAAGTGTCCTTCTGACAACTTGAGCTACACACATACACAAAAAAAAACCAACCCAAAATATAGTCAGTAAGTCCATATATAATATGGATGGTAGATAGATATATAGATAGATAGATAGATAGATAGATAGATAGATAAAGTAAAAAAAAAAACTACAAGGAAGATAGACAAATCTCCCATACAGATTAATTCCAAAGAATGTCTTGAGCCTCCTCTTCCTTAAGGAGTATCTTAAGTGCAAGATATGCAGAGTGACTCTTTCCCTGAGAGAATAATAGGGAAAGAGAGAGGAAAAAGAGTAACTTTACAGCATAGAAGCCTGACGAATCTGACAACCTAATCATCAGGTCAGCATCACCAGCAGTAGGTCAACTTGATAGAATGTATCCTTGATATGATGTCATGAGAAGGACACTTCCCCTTGGTGGTCTTCCTCCCAAAAACCATAACCCCAGTCCAATCATGAGAAAAACAGACACACCCAACTGCCTCATCGGTGCCCCTCTAAGCTGTCAAGGTCATCAAAACATGGAAGGTCTGAGAGACTATCACAGCCAAGAGGAGCCTAAAGACACTCCACGGCTAAATGTAACATGATATCCTGGGTGGGGTTCCGGAAGAAAAAAAAAGAACATAAGGCAATATGAATAAAGTATGGACTTTAGTTTACAATCATATATCAATATTGCCTCATTAATTGTGACACCTGGACCATAGGAATGTAGGGTGTATGTTAATACTAGGAGGAGCGGTGTGCTAATCTACAGGATACTGTGCTCAACTCAGATTTTTTTCACACTTAATGGAGACATCCTCTTAGAATTATTTTAGTTTGGTCCGAAACTCTCCATTCCTCCCCTCCTCTTCTTCTTCTTCTTCTTTTTTTTAATATTTTATTTATTTCTAAGAGAGAGAGAGAGAGACAGCGTGAGCAGGGGAGGGTCAGAGAGAGAGGGAGTCAAAGACTCTAAAACAGGCTCCAGGCTCTGAGCTGGCAGTCAGCACAGAGCCCGACGCGGGGCTCGAACCCACGAACCGTGAGATCATGACCTAAGCGAAAGTCGGACGCTCAACCGACTAAGCCACCCAGGTGCCCCTCCTCCCCTCTTCTTTACGGATATTTCTGGACCTCACTTTTCTCTCTGAAAGAGGTAGAGGCAAGAATTCAAGAGATGTTTCCTTGAAAATCAAGAGTCTTTCCAGTAAAGGTAATTTGAAGGTTTTGCTGTTCTCTGACTTCAAACTACAGTGACGTCAGGGGTTTTATGTGGTTTTATTCTTGTTGTTGTTGAATTCTATAGTTATGAAAGAATGTATTTGAAATTTAAATTTACAAGGACACCAGCTACCCTGGAAGTCTGGTGAATTTTTTTCCCAGTTATAGTGAGATGCGAGTGTCCATTGGCAGGTGAGTGGGTGAAGAAAATGTGGTATATACACTGGAATATTATTCAGCCATATAACAAAAGGGAGTTCTTGGATTTTTGACAACACAGACGGAGCTTGAGGGCATTATGCTAAATGAACTCTGTCAGGCAGAGAAAAGCAAATACCCTATGATTTCGCTTATGTGGAATTTAAAAATATCAACTTATAGAAACACAGAGTAAAATGGTGGTAGTCAGGGGCTCAGAGGGTGAAGGAAATGAGCTGGTCAAAGGGTACAAACATTCAGGTTTAAGACCAACACATTTTGGGGGCACCTGGGTGGCTCAGTCAGTTAAGTGTCCAACTTCGGCTCAGGTCATGATCTTGCAGTTGGTGGGTTCAAGCCCCGCATCGGGTTCTGTGCTGGCAGCTCATAGCCTGGAGCCTGTTTCGGATTCTGTGTCTCCCTCTCTCTCTGCCCCTCCCTTGCTCATGTTCTGTCTCTGTCTCAAAAATAAATAAAAACTATTAAAAAATTAAAAAAAAAAAAGACCAACACATTCTGGGATTTAACGTGTAGCCTGGTGAATGCAGTTAATAATGTAGTGTTATATCCTTGAAAGTCGCTCAGAGAGAGGAGTGTTAATGTTTTCATCATAAAAATAACAAAGTAGTGAGTATGTGAGGTGAAGGATTTGTTAACTACCCTCATCATGGTAAACATTTTTCAATATATACATGAATCAAATAATCGCATGTACCCTTTCAATCACACCGTGTGTCAGTTTTATCACAATAAAGCTGGGAAAAAAAGTCAATTGAAGAGGCAAATATTGATATCTTCACCACGTGGCATCTTCCCATTCAGGAGATCAGTGAGTATGTATTCAGCCCTTTTGTATGTGCCTCATGATCGCTTATATAGGCTTCTTTTTTTAAGTTCTTCCTGCCTCTTGTTACATTTATTTGAAGGAATGAGCAAATCAGAGAACATGAGATGCTGGCAAGGATGTGGAGAAACGGGCACCCTCTTACACTGTTGGTGGGAATGTAAACTGGTACAGCCCCTCTGGAAAACAGTGTGGAGGTTCCTCAAAAAATTAACAATAGAACTCCCCTATGACCCAGCAATAGCACTGCTATGAATTTACCCAAGGGATATAGAAATGCTGAGGCATAGGAGCACATGTACCCCAATGTTCATAGCAGCACTCTCAACTATAGCCAAAACATGGAAAGAGCCTAAGTGTCCATCAACGGACGAATGGGTCAAGAAGATGTGGTTTATCTATACCATGGAATACTCCATGGCAATGAGAAAGAATGAAATCTGGCCATGCGTAGCAACATGGATGGTCCTTGAGGGTGTTCTGCTGAGTGAAATAAGTCAGGCAGAGAAGGACAAATATCATATGTTTGCACGTATAGGAGGATTAGGAGGAACTTAACTGAGGACCAAGGGGGAGAAGAAGGGGGGAAATGGTGGGGGAAAGGGAGAGAGGCAAACCATGAGAGACTCTTGAATGCTGACAAAAACTGAGGACTGATGGATGTGGGGGGGAGGGGGGAATGGATATAGAGGAGGGCACTCGTGGGGATGAGCACTGGGTGTTATGTGGAAACTAATTTGACAATAAACTATTTGTAAAAAAAATAAATAAATAAATAAATAAATTTAAAAAAATAAAGGAATGATACGGGGGTGCCTGGGTGGCTCAGTTGGTTGAGTGTCTGACTTCGGCTCAGGTCATGATCTCACAGTTTGTGGGTTCAAGACCCACATTGGGCTCTGTGCTGACAGCTCAGAGCCTGGAGCCAGCTTCAGATTCTGTCTCCATCTCTCTCTCTCTCTCTCTCTCGCTCTCGCTCTCGCTCTCTCTCTGTGCCTCTCCCTCACTCGCACTCTGTCTCTTCCTCTCTCTCTCCCCAAAAGAAATAAGCATTATAAAATTTAAAATAAAAATAAATAAATAAATAAAGGAATGGTATGATTTTGTTGCTATTGTAAGTGAGATTTTAAATTTTTTATTCTGATTATTGCTTGTTTATATCACAAATAAGATTTATCATTTACTATGTGACTTTGGGGGGTTACCGAACCTCTCATGGCATCAGTCTTTCAACAAAATTAAAGACGTGTGATACTACCCATTTGAGAAAGTTCTTCTGAGACACAAATAAAACAGTACATAAAACACAGTATAGGATCTGGAACAGAGAAATAATCTGACTCTTGGTTTCGGCTCAGGTCATGATTTTGTTGTGCCTGAATCACGAGTACCAGTGACCTCCAAGAAGCCAACACCGATGCAAGAACAAAGGGTCTTTATTACAAGCTCAAGCAGGGTCTCACCCGCCTACTGACACAGCAGCAGCAGCAGGGGGGAGCCCCAAACAATAGCGAGCAGGGTTTTTAAGGGGTAAGGGATGGGGGTGTTACAGTACACGTGTTGTACACCAATCATATTTGTGTAGCACCCCTGGCAACAGCTTTGACCATTTAGTACCTGTGAGGTGTCTGTTACTTTTGGCGGAGCCCAATTATGGCCTTTTGAGACTCCTTTGAAAATGACCCATTATGAGGTGAGTTAAGCATGGGGGAGCAGCCCTTGTGTCAGCCCGCAGGAATGTTTTTAACCTCCTCTCATTGGCTAATTGGAGAGTGGTTTCGGCCTTGAACAATCTGGGTTTTTTCCTGAGACTGCTGCTATGTGTAGCCCGAGGTTGCTTTTAATGGCGGTCTTAATTTTAAAATGGCGTTATTTAGGCTCTTCAATTTCACAGTTCATGGGTTCGAGCCCTGCGTTGAGTTCTGCGGTGTCAGCACAGGGGCTGCTTGGGATTCTCTGTCCCCCTCTCTCTCTGCCCCTACCCTGCTCATGCTCTCTCTCTCTCTCTTTCTCTATCAAAATAAATAAATAAAACAGGGGCACCTGTTGGGTGGCTCAGTCGGTTAAAGCGTCTGACTTTGGCTCAGGTCATGATCTCACAGTTTGTGGGTTCGAGCCTTGCGTCAGGCTCTGTGCTGACCGCTCAAAGCCTGGAGCCTGCTTCGGCTTCTGGGTCTTCCTCTCTCTCTGCCTCTCCCCTGCTTGTGCTCTGTCTCTCTCTCTCTCAAAAATAAACATTTAAAAAATTATTAAATAAATGTAAAAAGCCATTTAAAAATATTTAATACAAAAATAAAGTCATCTTTGTGCCAGTGATATATTTTGCACTTGTCTGGCCAGAAGTTTGGGACCGGCTCTTGCCTGCTGTCCAAGATGTCCTGGTATCACGGCTCCGGTGCAGTGCAGCCAGCCCCCCAGAGAAGGAGAGGGAGCCGTGGCTTGCATGCTTCTGGAAGAGGCAAGGGACGCCGCATTCCCTGGTCTCTCACCCCGAGTCTCTGCCCTCCACTTCCACTCACAGCTGGAACTCAACACAGAAAGGAGAGTTGTCTGGGGCCCAGAATGTCAGGGCTAACCTGTACTTCCCGAATAGTTACATCCAACTCCCTCAAATTGAATAGACAACTGAAGCTCAGAGAGGGAAAGACATTACTCAGAGGTCATCCAGCAAGTGGGGAGGCTGGGTCGGGACTAGAACACAGGTCCTCTGATCCCTAAGCCTGTGCACTTTCAACTCCATCCTAAATGCTCCTCTTTCTGTGAGAGCTTCCTTGTTCAAGGGCAGTGGAGCAGGTGGGTCAACAGCAGAGCCATGGGGTCATTCAAGTTTGCCTAACACACACCATCCACGACCTTCACTACTCGAGTCTCCCCCTGCACACCCCATGTCTCCAGAGGTCACTATTTATTGGAGGCTGGCTTTGGCAGGTCCAGGGGTCCCTGAAGGATGGACGGTGTTGGCTAGAGAGAGTGAGAGAGCCCTGAGATTCTTTCTGATCACCAGGGAGGTATCTCTGCTCTGACTGGGGCTCAACTTTATTTTATCCTTTAAGTGTTTGGGGGACGGCACAGAAGTGGCATTTGCCTTAGACAATGATTTCTGATAACAAACTTCTTTGATATGTAAGAATTTCCCAGAACATATATTTGTAGAAGACTCATGCATAACATTACAATAGTGATTGAGGTAGGGGATTTAGATGCTTATCCTATGGGGAAGGAAGGGGTCTTTACCATGCTAGACAAAGTTTTTAGCATTAAAAGGGTGAAGTTACTTCTTTGTGGGCAGGGGTCAATAGCTTGTTTGTTTAAGGTGGAAGTATAAAGAAAAACAGGTCTTTCAGGGAACACCTTTGCACTCATAATCCCAGAAGAAGTTCCTCAATAGGTTCCTTCACAGGGAGCAATCAGCATATACAAGGCCAGAAAATGTCCCAAGCAGAAACAAATGGGTGGGGGTGGATATTTGTCCTTAACTCTAAATTAGGCCCTTTGTCTCAGGGCCAGACTCAAGCCCCCTTTATTATGTAAGTCTTGGATCTGCAAAGCCCAAAAGAAGAGCCTTTTGACAATCATCCACAGTGCTTTCATCTGAAGTCTCTTGGAAAAAGGCAGGAATATGCTTTTCCTTATGAGCAATCTATGTGGGGAATATCAGTCTGATCTGGAATATTGTGAGGCCTGGTCAATGCCAGCAGCCTCATTTCCAATATGAGCCAGTGGTAGCAAAAGGAGATCCCAGTTTTCATTTCTCATGGCAGAGGCTGTGCAAACGCTGCCATATCCTTGCTGTGACTGTCATCCAGAGAGGCCAGTGCAGCTCCCAGCAACCATTTACCAGTTACCTTTACACACTAAAGGATCAAGGACTTAGTGTATCTTGTCTCCTCATTCACATCTTAAAATAGAAAGCTGGGGGAGGGGATGGCTTAACCCACAGGAATTACGTGTTAACGGCGGCATCTCAGGCACGGCAGGGGAAATGCTTCACGAGCAAGCGGGGATGTCCAGTGTCTCTCTATGGTCTCTTGAGAGATCTAGATCCCTGGGGAACAAGAAAGGAAAGGAGGGAGGGAGCTATAGGTTCCGCCACCAGAGCTGGTCGGTCACACTGGCAGTAGCTGGGTCAGGATGCGGGGTGGATTGGAAAGAAACTGCCTGCTGTCTGTGCAACCTTTTGTTTTTTACTCTCTGGTCTTAGGCGAAAGGCAACACTCCCCAAGGAAATGCAGACTCCAGTTCTGGGGTCAATTAGTGGAGTTCTAATATCAAGCCCTAGGAATGGGCCTCTTGTTTCCACCCCTGCTCTTCTTCACATCCCGCTGAGGGGAGCGACACCCAGCCCCTCCCCCATTACCCGGGGCTTCCAGGAGCACAGAAATCATGCGAGTGAGAAGCAAACGGAGCAGAAAGTGGTCTTTTATTGCAAAGTCAACGAGAGAAGCAGCCACGTCCGGGCTTGGGCATCCTGAGTGCGAGGGAGAAGGTGCGGGCGGGAGGGGGTGGTGTGACGGGGCCGGGGCCAGCAGCCATGGGGACTTCACAGGTGCATCAAGGACAGGCCCCACCTGGCCGGGAGAGAAGAGGACCCGAGAAGTGATTTAGCAGGTCAGAGCACTCAGAGGCAGCGGAGGGGAGGATCACGTCCATGTGCCAGCCCTCCCAGGACCTCAGGTACAGGCTCTAAGACCCTCTAGTCTCTCTGTCACCTCTCTCTCACCCACCCAGGGTCATTCCCCATTGGTCAGTCTTCTCTGTGCCCTCAGCAACTCCTCTGGCTCCACCCGGCTCTCACCTCATCGGGGATCCAAGCAGGCCTTCCCACAAGGGCCCACACAGCACTTCTTGGCCCCTGGGCACTCGGTGTCTCGCAGACAGCGGTCAGGGGGGTTCATCATGGCGCACCGTATCAGAATGTTGGGGCAGGAGCCAGGCTTAGTGGACCCTAGACCTTTGGGCAGATCTTTGGTTTTGACTGTATCTTGACCTCTAACCGGATCTTGTCCTTTGACCAGAACACGAACTCTGTCAGTGCCTTGCCCTTTAGGAAAAACTTTTGAAAGAAGAAACATAGCCACAAATAGACCCACCATGCCTGCCTCACTATCTAGTCTTTCCTCTACGTCTAGACCCTGCTCAGTGCTGTGTTTCCCAAACCATGGCCAGAGACGGGGCAGGGTCATCTCAGCTAGCTGGGGTCAGTGCTCTAGGAAGGCTGTGCTCTAGGCCTTGGGGAGAGGGTCTACAGGACCATGGTTCCCTTAGGTATCCATGTCTCCCACCCACCTCCTGCCCTCTGTGACAAGTCCTCTGAAGAGGAGAGGCCAGACTGGAGTGACTCCCAGAGGTGAGAAGGACACATTGTCATCTCTGAGGCAACTTGGAGGAGGGGGAAAGAGCCCTGAGACACACATCAGGAGCCCTGAGCTCCTTCCTGACTCTGGAGATTATCTGGACAATCAGTGTTCTCCTTGGTAAAGTGGGGAGTCTTCAAACTACAGGATTTCTGAGGTCTTGGTGTATAACCTCCTTTTAGAGGCTGATTCCTCAGGTGCGTTCTGGGGGCAGACAGGCAAACCCCACACCCAGGCCCAGATTCCTGGGGCTCCCCACTTCATTACACATTCTGCCCAGCTATCAACCCCTGAGGCCAAGGCCATGTAGCAACCCTTCTTCTGGCAATGGCCCTGATAACTCAGTCTTAGCGCAGAATGCACGTGATTCTACTGAACAACTTCCTGCTCGCTCTGGATACAGCAGAAGCCGCCACAGACCAAAGCGTGTGATCCAGCCCAGCCTACTGCCCCAGAGTGCTCCCTGTCAGGGCCCAACCCGGCCTCACCCAGGCCACAGTCTACTCACCTGTGGCAGCCGCCTGTGCCGCCAGAATCCCAAGGATAAGGAATGCCGCCAAGACCAAGAAGCTGCTGGGCCTCATGTTGTCAGGAAGGTGTGTGTGGCCAAGAGCCGAAGCCAACCCGTTTTATGGTGCCCAACGTGGCCGGGAGCCAGGGGGCGGGTCTGTGCTTTTCTATGGCACAAGACCTGCATTTTCTTATTTCTACCAGGAAGTATCCACGCCTATCCCGGAATGGGCCCTGGGACTTCCCCCAAGGATTGTTCACTGAAGAGAAATGGCAGCTACCAGGTTACATCACCTCTGATAGCCTGGGAGCCATCCCACTTTCTCACAGAGAAGCAGGGCTGGCTGGTGGGTCCTGAGTTCTGAGGAGTTCCCCCATTCCTCCCTGTTCCTCAGCCCCTCCCAGGCCCACCCTAACTGTACACCCCTCTTAGCATCAGGCTGGGCTTTTATTTTATGCCCTCCTGGCCCTGAGAAAAACTGTTGAAGGGAAATTTGCCTTGGAAGTCTAATGACAAATCACCGCACCTTGCGATGTCACAGGTAGTCTCTGAGATGCACCACGAAAGCAACAGGGAAGGCGGGATTCTAGATCTCACAGAACGACTCTAATTAAAATAATGCTGAGTGGAAAATTCAAGTCTCAAAAGAAAATATTTTAAACTACATGCTAGTATCTAAGGCTCAAAACGAAGGAAAACGAATAGTCTAGGCATACTTATATATGTGGTAAAACTCATTCGCTCGGGGGTAGATGAAAATGAGGAGGCTGTAAACACAAATTTTAGGAGAGTGGTTAACTCTGGAAGTGAGGGAAGAGACATTTTGGATGGGTGAAAAGTATTCAGGTTGGCTTACGTTTTTGGTCTTGCTGATGTACTAGGACTGAGTTGATTGGTGATTTACCTTGGGGTGTACGTGGGAGTGGAGGGGTGCGTGTGTCGGGGTGGGAGGGTCATAGGGTGCGTGTGTGTGTGTTTCCAAAGCTGTGGGGTAAATCATTGATGAACTACTTTCACTTTCCGTAAACACACACTGTCACTCAATTGGGTTCCAGTCTTTTACTGTTACAAAATATATCCCATGTGGCTTTTCGCACTAACGTGCAAGTTTGATTCCCAGAAACAGATTTGCTAGTACAAAGACTAAATGCATTTGAAATGTTTTCCTGGCATACTGCAGTACAATTGACAAATGTATTTTATATTTACAAAGCGTGTACAATATGATGTTATCATGTATGTGCACATTAGAAAGAGATTACCACGACCAAGCTCATGAACACATCCATCAACTCATATAGTTACCATTTTTAAAGTGCTTTTGAAATTTTTATAATCTTGTCTTATTTCACGCAGCAGGGGTTGCACCATTTTGTACCCGCACCGGCAGTGGATGACACGTCCTCTGCACATCCAGGCACACATAGGGTGTCTAATGTGGGGATGTTTCACAGTCAGGTAGGTGAGAAATGATACTTTACTGATGGTTTTAGTTAGCATTTCTCACATTTCCAGTTTTGCATATTTTAGAAGTCCCTGACATGTCTGTTTCCGAAAGCTTCTTTTCCTTTGCTCACTTTTCTACAGATTCCTTCTTCTTCTCCATTTTTATGCACTCTTTATAAATTATGGAGAAAGGTCCTTTGTGGCATGGGGTGCAAGTGAAAACTTCAATGTCATTCTAAGACCTGCTCAGAACAGCTCAGGGCACCATCTTTTCCTTGCCTTATCTGGCCATTACCTCCTATTGTTTGGCTCTTTTGCACACAGTGAGAGCGTGTTCTTAATATAGTTATCTTAAGCAAATCTCGCTATGATTATTTTAAGAAGGCTGCACGTTCTATTACTAGAGGTTCACTGAACAGTTGATGAGGGGATAGAGGTTAGGAAGGTAGGATAGGAGGAGAAAAAAAGGTAAAAAAAAGTATTGCTTCACCAAAATACTCATCATGTCGGATGTCATCTTATTCTACTTATAAATAGAAAAAGAACAACTATCACTAGATCTCTGTTTACTGAATCCTAACAATGTTCCCGAAATCTTACCAACAGAAAACAACAAGTTAGAGGGTAACATATGTATTTGATGATACTTCGAGAGAAACACATAAAACTGCTATGTATGAAGGAGGAGAAAGTTATGAAGGAATATACGCTACCATATTAACACAGCTTACATCACCCTGATGGGAATGGGGAAAAAGCAAGATAAGTAAGTTTTGCTTTTTTAAAAAAATTTTTTAATGTTTCATTTCTTTCTGAGAGAGAGAGAGAGAGACAGCGTGAGCTGGGGGGAGTCTGAGAGAGAGGGAGAAACAGAATCTGAAACGGGCTCTAGGCTCTGAGCTATCTGTCAGCACAGAGCCCGACGTGGGGCTGGAACCCACGAACCGTGAGATCAGGACCTGAGCCGAAGTCGGATGCTCAACCGACTGAGCGACCCAGATACCCCAAGTAGGTTTTCCATTACACATACTAGTTTCTAATGTTTTCACTTGTCACAACAAAGTGTCACTGTTGTGATCTAAAATATCAAAGAAAATTATCATCGATTATTAGAAAAAGGAATTCAAGGGGCGCCTGGGTGTCTCAGCCAGTTAAGTGACCGACTTTGGCTCAGCTCATGACCATGGGTTCCAGCCCCACATCGGGCTCTGTGCTGACAGCTCAGAGCCTGGAGCCTGCTTCAGATTCTGTGTCTCCCTCTTTCTCTGCCCCTCCCCAACTCCTGCTCTGTCTCTCTCTCAAAATTAAATAAAACTTTTTTAAAAAAGGAAAAAAGGATTCATACAAGAAATTATACACATGTAACCATTAGTGCCAGTGTTAAACGGGGTGCTTAAAATATAAGTGTTATAAGGTAAAAATATAATAGTGTGTGTCAGGTATGATTCAGATGTAGTGGAAAGAAAGCTCTCCAGGTAGTTCAAGCAGAAGAAGAATCCAGCCATTGCGTGAGTGCGTTTGATTGTAAGAACCTGAGTCACATCTGTGGTCCTGGATGCGGAAGAGTCTGGCACAGATAGTCACTGGATTTTCCAACTGCTGCAGGAAGATATGCTGGGAGAAGCTGAAATGCACGTCGATGAAGACACTGCACAGTGCATGCCACCATCCACTCTTTTTTCTCCTGCCTCTGTTCATGCTCCTGGTCCATCCCCTACTTACATTTCCAAACATCAGCCAATATTTACCTCCTAGAAGGAAGAGTGCCCACCTTGAGTGGGAAGTTGAGGTGAGGAGGTTTGAAACAAGAAAGGTAGGGTACAGTGCTGGGAGGTGTCGAGAGAAAAGAAATAAGAAAATGCATCCAGGAGAGGAGGAGATATATTGAGGAGAGAGATCATCATCTTGAAACACGGGAGCAGTATCCCTTTGGCCATGGCCCATGGTAGGAGACTTCCTGTTTAGACCTGTACGCAAGACTCAGGAAAGGCCCAGGTATTTAAGGAACTGCCCAGTATTGTAGCAACGGAGGAGGGAGCCCTTGAGCTAAGAAACTAACAAACCCTTTCTAACTCCCCTGCCTAACCCCCAATCTCCTCCCCCACCATCCCCCCAACTCCTACTTAGGTAAGATACTCCTTTCAATAGCTAGCCTGTGAAAATCTACTGATTTTAAAATAAGAAAGAATTTTGGAAATCACATAAACCATACAAAAATACTAATTTTGAAAGCAGAAGTGAGTTACAAACCTTAAAAACATTTAAAATGGGTTTTGGGGGTGCCTGGGTGGCTCAGTCTGTTAAGTACCTGACTCTTGATTTTGGCTCAGATCATGATCTCACAGAACGTGGGCTCAAGTCCCACATTGGGCTCTGTAATGACAGCACAGAGCCTACTTGGGATTTTCTCTCTCTCTCTCTCTCTCTGCCCCTCCCCCCCCGTCGATGCATGCTTTCTCTCCTCTGAAAATAAAGAAATAAAGCTTCAAAAATATATATATTAAAATGGAATTTTAAAAATCCTAAGTAAAATGCCACCACAAAGCTGAACAAAATGGTAATTCTAAAATGAACATTGAAAATTACTGAAGCAAATTGAAAGTATGAAGAACCACATAAAGCAGAGATACAGAAATTCAAAGAAGCAATAGCAAGGTAACAGGAAGGTGTGAAGTGACATCTGACAGAGCTCAAAAGAGAAATTGAAGACAAGGTCCAAAACAATGCAGAAATAAAGACTAAGGAAGGAAAAAAGGAAGGAAAATAAGGAAAGCAAAGAACACAAAATAAAAATTAAAACTAGCTTTAAAATGATTCCAGAGAAAGCCTTAAGTATTGAAAAACAAATCAATAGAGACCCAACAGACATATAAATCAAGCCCCACAAAGAAGAAAAACAAAACACCACAATAAAAGAATTATTTAAAACTGTAATTAAAGACAATATTTCTGAAATAAAAGCAGGCTTGAGTCTACGGATGGAACGTTCACACCTTGGTAAACACAAGAGGCACGAAAGTCAAGTATTTAGACTGTAAAGATAGAGATAGAAGACTTCTGGAAGCCAACACCCTTCAAAAAATCCAAAATCCAAAAAAAATCAGGTTAAATGACAGCCGGTAAAGAAACAGAGCAAAACTTAAAGGCACTCAAGGAAAAAACTATGCACTGAGATTTTTTTACACAGCTAATTTGTCCGTGAAGTAAAGAGACTACAAGAATATATTTCTGAGCATGCAAGAACTCAAGGAATATTGTTTCCAAGAGCTTTCCTGAGCGGTTTCTAAGGGACGAGATACACCTGACCAACGTTTGCAGGAATTACCAAAAGGACCCCGTGCTGAACACTGGACACTTTAACTGCGGAAATAAGACGAAGACAAAGTGGTAACAGACAGTATGTAAATCTGCCATGCTGTGAAAACATAGAAATAGTGAAACTTCCGTCAAATAGGAGGAAGTGAAGGAAGGAAGGTAGATAAAAGAATAAGCTGCTGATTGCTTTACATATAATAGTTTCAAGTCAAGGGATATTTAAAACAATAAGCTTCAAAAGAGTTAAACACTTTGGTGCATCAAAGGCCACCACAGGATAATGAAAAGACCACTTGCAGAATGGGAGAAAAG